ACCAGTAGCAATCAGCTTACCAAACCAACAACATGGCTTCGTTCAATGGACGCAACACTCTGTACAAGGAGCGTTTCTGCCAGAACACCACAGACGGCGATGATATGGCCGCATCGACATCTGCAGAAAGTAAGTTTTTTTGTTTTATTTTTTCGGGAAAAAACACTGAAAAATGTTGCTAAAAAATTAAAGAATGCCAAAAAAATTGCGTGGTGCAACCGATTCGGCGAGTCGCACAATGCAGCGACAGCGACACCGAATTTCACGCGTATGTGCACAGCATCTTTCATCAGTTCCCTTCGGACGAAGAGCCCGACGACGTGGTTGAAGTTGCAGCCGTTCCGGGAACATCAACCAATCTGGACGATGATGATACGATTATGAACGTCAACGTCATCGTCAACGTCAACGTCAACATCGACAACCAAGAGCCTCACGATACGGCTGCCGAAAATCCAGATAATCACGACCTGGCGCTAGAATCAGAATCCCAGGATACCGATGAGGCCGCTGCCGAAGCGCTTTCCAACAGACGAAATACTATAATATTGGATTTCCACAATAATTTAGAAAATCGTTCCATGGTACGAGACCCAGCAACCCATGATCTCGTTCCAGAAAGTCAGAACCTATGGTCGGAATCTCAGGATACCGAGGAGGAGATGTCTGCTGCCGAGACTCTCACATTGACCAGAACGCCAGGACCAGAATCCGAGGATGGAGCGGCATCGCCGATCGTTGGAAGCAATCGCTACAAGGAGCCAGAGCCACAACTCCAGGATAGAGCGATATCACCGATCGTTGGAAGCGATCGCTACAGGGAGCCAGAGCCAGAGCTCCAGGATAGAGCGACATCACCGATCGTTGGAAGCAATCGCTATAGGGAACGCTGGAATAGCCGCTAGGCACGAAAGAATCGCACCATGGCACGACGCAATCGCCGCAAAAATGAACAAAAATTCCGACGTTTGCACCAACGCATCATCGACTTGCAAATGGGAATAATTAACGATTATCTACATAAGGCACAAAAACATATTCGAGCTATAGAAAAGACTGCGCGCAGAACATATGCATAAAAAACTATATGGTGGTGAGAATATAGAAATTGAATAATAAATGCAACTTGACGTTTTTTTTCGTGTTTTTATTCTCTCTCATAAGCGATATACAAAATGAAGCACCATAGGCGATACAAAATATGAACCACCCTGTAGTTGGAGATTGCAGCTAGTTCAATGGCTCGAGCGGGCGGTCACCGAGCATATTTCGGACCGATTGATCGAATCTTTGATCGAAGAAGATTCGGTGACTAAACGAGTTACGGTGTTGGCGAAACGCTTGTCAAAAATGTGGACGGCTCTGAACAAAAATACAGAACGAGCAGAATTGCGCAAATTGAGCAGGGAGAAGTATCGTGCAGAAGAAGAGCGTATTCGTGCTGCGATGGAGCAGCAATTGCGACAAAACGAACAGAAATTTGAGCTGCAATTGAGACTGCATGAACACCAATTTGAAGAAGCGAAGAAATCTATACAGCAGCTCCATCTGTCACAACTTGAAGGGCTGCAAAAGCGCAAAAGCGATGACCTGCACAAGCACAGCGATCTGCGAAAGCGCAAGATCGATGACCTGCAAAAGCGCAACGAATTCGAAAGGTTGCGAAAGCGCAAAAGCGCTGACCTGCAAAAGCGCAACAGCGATGAGTCCGATTTGTTAGATGATGACGACGAAGATGTAGTGCTGAAAAGGCGAGGAGGACGAGAAAGCGTCTATGCCTGCGACTCGAGGGCGTCGCTGCCTTCAAGATCATCATCATCTGCTTCGTCGCGGGCAGTCCAGCGACGGCATTTTGCCGTTTTCGACAAAGTACGTATTTCTAATAGTAGTCTAATGGTACAATATTTGATATAAGCAGTCTAATATTATCGTATTTTTATTTGTTATGTTAGAATACCGAGGAGCCACTCCAGCCGACTCCGCTACCGACCCCGGTGCCGACCCCGCAGCCGACTCCGGTGCCGACCCCGCAGCCGACTCCGGTGCCGACCACGAAGCAGACTCCGCTGCCGACCCCGAAGCCGCAGCACGTCGCGGAACGCGTGCAAGAGTCATCATTTGTACCGATCGTTTCGGTAGACACGACTGCTGCGCAAGAAGTGCATAAACCCATAGCGGTACGACCGTCATCATTCGTACCGCAAGAGCCCGTCGAGGTAAAAACGCCCGAGCGTAATGGAGCTGCTTCTTTTCGTGCTGCTTTCGGCGTGCCGCCGGTAGCGTCCAAATCGATGCCCCTATTGGAGAGCGCGCGCCTGGAAACGGAAGAGGCGTCGGAGGACGAAGAAGAGGAGATCGAACTCCAGGAAACGGAAGAGGCTATCAGCAATATTATTGACAATGGAGCCAAGACACCGAATGGATTCGATATCAATGGACTATCCTGGTGTACAATAGTAGTAATTCGCAAGACGCCGCGGAGGCGGCTGCCCACTTGACATCCGAGATGCTTGAACAGCACCTAGCCACGCCAGTAAAGGTAATTGACGTTGTCTCGCTAAAAAAAAGAGTTAAAAGCACTCGAAACGATTACGCCCAGCACGCTCCAAACTAAATTCTCGAACTGTCGAGATTACTGCCTTAGCTTTAAACATAAAATCAATTTTTATACGATAGTAGCCAAGTCCGACGGAACGATGAACGTTTTCTCCAAGGCCAATAGGCGTTCGAACAATTGCGTAGCTCTCGTATCGAAATGGTCCAAATTGTCGTACCAAAAGTATCAATCGTTTGCGTGCAACATCGCGATCGATTGCTCCGAGACAGATGCGGTTCTGCTAAGTATTACAAACGGCGACGACGCCGATTCTGTGGAACGAATGTTGAGCGAAGTATACTCGGTGCGAACTTGGATAACCGGAAACGCGTTTTCGTTTTGCAAAAGTGTGCGTCGAACCAATGACGTCTTGACCTATTCTCTTGACGAGAATACTTTTCGGTACGTGCCGCGAATCTTGACTACCGTTGCGGAAGCGTATGCTCTGCGTAAAGCCGAGAAGGGCTGGTTTTATCAGTTGCGATTGCGCGATGAACTCAGAACAATAATACGATCGCGAAATTATAACTCATTGCATGAGGCAATAGCAGCAGAGAGCTCAGAAGAAAAAGTATAAGGGCCTAGTGGAAAACCTTTCGTAAAAATTAAACCTCCTATATACACCCGCAATGAAAAAACTTTGCAATGCTACAAATGTGGTAAATTAGGGCATAACGGACAGGAATGTAGAACAAGTTGCTATGCAAATCGATATGTGTTACCGAGACCAATCGAAAATACGCGCATAAACTCAATACAAAAACATTGCGTTTACTATAAAAAGAACGGTTACAACCGCGATGAATGCTGGAATCTGCACGGTAAGCCAAACGGGAAACCCAAACTCGTGAGTAATCAGCGAAGTCTACCACGGACAGTGACGGCCATTCCGTCAAATACGGAAAGATTATCGACTCCCAAAATAGGGAATAGAAATGAACAAGAAAACAAAAATAAAAAACAAACTAGAGTACAAGACTATCATGTCAATCCAGTAAGAAAAAATACGTTAAATAATAGTCTATTCGATCTAGTAATTCTATCAATAAAAGAAGCGAAACGAGGGAAAATTCCGTTTCTGGTAGATACAGGATCAGCCATTAGTCTAGTAAAGATAAAGACATTGAAAAATGATACACCGATGATTGGAGAAAAACTCACTCTAACAGGAATCACGGGACATCAAACCCATACATTGGGAAAAATAAAAGCTACAATAGACTTAAGAAAGCAACCATAAAAATGGAACTTTACGTAGTAAGGGGTGATTTCCCCATAGATTATGAAGGAATACTAGGGATCGATTTCCTACAAACATATCATGCCAAGTTCGATTATAAGGAAAGAACTATGAGAGTTTCCGGACAAAACTTGCCATTAGTAATACCATTAGTATTACCATTTCAAACATATAACCTTCCCGCGCATAGCGAGAATATAATACAGGCTACAGTAAGCTCTAATAAAGAAGAAATTATTCCGGCAGAGAAGATTTTGCCAGGAATTTTTATGGGAAATTGCTTGATAAAAGCAAGCAATCATACGTGCCCTGTAACAAT